CTAAGCCTAGGAGAAATCCTATGTCAATGACGGCGTACAATATACTCGAGTGTCGAGAATAATAATAATATTATACAAAGACACACGCCCGTCGGGCAAAAGGGAATCCGGTTCCTATTCCGGAACCCGGCAGCGGAACCGCATACAATTCGGGCCCTTGTAAGAGTGTTCGTCGTGGTAACCCAAAATGACCTGGAGACGCCGTCGGGAGATCCGGGAAGAGTTTTCTTTTCTGTATAAGCATTCGAGTTTCCTGGAAACCTCTAGCAGGGAGATAGGGTTTGGAACGCGAAGAGCACCGCAGTTGCGGCGGTGTCCGGATCTTCCCCTCGGACCTTGAAAATCAGGAGAGGGCCACGTGGAGTGTCGCGCCGGTTCGTACCCATATCCGCAGCAGGTCTCCAAGGTAAAGAGCCTCTAGTCGATAGAATAATGTAAGTAAGGGAAGTCGGCAAATTGGATTCGTAACTTCGGAATAAGGATTGGCTTTGAGAAGCGGGCTGACGTGCCGGGCCTGGGCGGATGAACGGTCGGCGTTCTCGCGCCGGTCCCGGGATCCGAGCTCGGTCCCGTGCCTTGGCCTCCCGCGGATCTTCCTTGCTGCGAGGCTTCCGTGGCGGCGCAAGCCGTCGTGGTCGTCCTCTTCGGCCGCCATTCAACGCTCAGCTCAGAACTGGCACGGACTAGGGGAATCCAACTGTCTAATTAAAACAAGCATTGCGATGGCCTCGCGGGTGTTGACGCAATGTGATTTCTGCCCAGTGCTCTGAATGTTAACGTGAAGAAATTCAAGCAAGCGCGGGTAAACGGCGGGAGTAACTATGACTCTCTTAAGGAGCCGCCGATTTTGTGGTTTCCATGCGCCAACCCCACCTCCTCGCGGTGAGAGTCGGGCAACGTCGGAACCAACCTCCCGCCGGCCAACGGGGCTCTGGCTTGGCGGAGCGGCAACGCTCCGTCCGGTCCGTGGGGTTGCCAGCCCTTCGGGTCTGTTTACGGCAGGCACCACAAGAAGAGAAAAATATAATCTCCGGCGGCAGCCTCGGGCCGCCGGTCCTGTCGTCCCTTCGCCCCCCTCTCTTGACCCCTCTCCAGGCTCTTCTCGTCGGCCGCCCGCTAGGCCACGACCCGCCCAACACCCGCTGCCCCTGTCCCTGCTCCCCGCAAGCCCCGCAATTCCCATGCCCACACTGTGATCGTGCGTTCACCACGAAGACCGGACTCGGCCTCCATCGCCGATGTGCACACGAGCCATCGTCAACGAGGAGGTTAACGTCGAGAGGGTTAACCGCCAATGGAGCGACGAAGAGAAGCGCATGATGACGAGGGAGGAGGCGCTTGCCGCGAATCGAGGCGTTAGGTTTTATGAATCAACATCTGTTAACCGTCGTTCCGATTATGATCGTTATAATCGCCCGTTAAAAACATGAAAGCGTAGGCGAGTTAAAGAGATTGCGAGACACGGTGGCTGCATCGCTGGCCGCGCTGACGAATTTGAGTCGACCGTTGCTCAGTGGGACGATATGCTTGTTTATTGCGTCTCACAAAAATTCTGTCAAAAAACGCGAAGCGAGTGGAACTTGAAGTGTTCCTCTATAACTTCAATTCCGGCGTACAAATATTTTCATGAATTTCTTACGACTCGAATCCGCGGATTGTCAGACTTCGCGGAAGTTTCAAGAGAAAGTGTTAATCAAAAGCCAAACAAGCCGCGTTCGTCAATGCATAACGTCTCCGCTGTCAAGTGCATATGCTGCTCAGGCAATCATTTCGTGATAAAGTGCGAGCCGTTTCGTCAAAAATCAGTTGAACAACGAAATGAGCTCGCTCGCAAAAATCGTGTATGCTTTAATTGCTTGCGCTCGGGGCATATTTCGCCGAATTGCCCGAGCCAACAGCGATGCAACCACTGCAGTCGGTCCATCATTCTTTATTGCATTCCGAAAATTATCAATCGTCAGCTGTCAGAAAAGATTCGGAAGCTGCGAAACCAAGCGTGAAAACGAATGCGAAGTCCGACGCCTTGGACGGTTCCAATAACGCTGCCGTGGCCAGCGTCCAGACAATCGAGCCGCCGGACTTTACGACTCCCGCGGTTCTCCTCGCAACCGCGTGGGTGAACATCCACACCGCTGAGGGCCGACGCTTTAAGGTTCGCGCGCTATTGGATCAGGGATCCAATTTTAGTTTATATCGGAATCTTTCTGTCAAACCATACGGACCAAGCGAAAAGAACCGATTTACAAATCAAAGGATTCGGGGAAACCTACACGGGCCGCAAAGTCGCGCGTGTCCTTGCGAATGACTCCGTGCGCGAAATCCGACCCGGTATTTCCAATCACAGTGTAACGTGTTTCCGAAGATCACGTCGGCGCGGCTTCGCAAGTTCGACCTTCGAATCGTGGCCTCACTTGAAGGGCCTTTCCTCGCGGATCCGGATCCGTCGAGCAAACATCAAATTCACTTGCTTCTTGGAGCCGACGTTTATGGCTCACTTTTGATGCGCGACTTGAGGCAAGGTCCGCTCGGTACCCCCAGCTCAACTAACCGCGCTCGGTTGGATTATTTCCGGTCCGACCAAAATAAACGGAAGGCTTCAAAAGAAGCCGTTTTAAATTGCGTTCTCGGTCAAGAGATAGACACTCTTCTCCAGCGGTTCTGGGAATATGAGGATATCGCGCCTCAAATTCCCCTCACGGAGGAGGAAGAGATTTGTGAGCGACACTTCGTGCAGACGCATAGTCGGTTGTCCGACGGACGATACGTCGTTCGACTACCCTTTAAATGTGATCCTCCGATCGAAATCGGAGAGTCTCTTTCCATTGC